ATGGAAGTCTAATAGCATCCAGGGTATTTGTCACATTGGCAGGTATTCTAGGATGTGCGAGCGTTAAGGAGCATAACCCCTCCATACGGAACGTTATCTTCTTTTCTCTTCTCATTTTCAAATCAATTAGTTATGCACATCATTATCACAATTTTTCTCTTTCAACACGACGTTTTTCTCTCTTTTCTCAATTATTCCATTATTTAATTATTTCTCACTTCCCGATGTTCTAATTTTTATATTGAGCAAAACCATTGTCAGTTTTCTCACTTGTATCAGTAACAAAAGTATTAGTGGATTTTTGTATCAGTAACAAAAGTATTAGTAAATTTTTTTTTTAACCCTCTTTCGCAATACTAGGACTATCCCATTTGCTTACTCGTTCTGTTTTCTTCAAGTTATCAGTCTGATGCTGTGTAGTGCCAATAAATGAAATGTTGTTCAGAGCTGTTGGTCTTAGATCATCATCAACAACAGCTGTGCAAGGGGGTATAACGAGAACGAGGACAGCGGCGATGGTCTATGTGTGGATGATTTTCTTCGTGAATGCTGGTGATCCTGTTATTTCTTCTTATCTCTATAGACTGTTAATCTTAGTTATATTATCAAATATCTTTCGCAGTGTACTCTCGTAGTATTGTAGTCTGTCATTGTCAGTCCAAGACGGAACAGTTTGTTATGGTAACAGTAGAAACACCTGAACATATAAATGTTACATATCCAGAATCATCCCACACACTTTCGCAACTCTTAGAAAACATCTGTTGTATGAAAAACGTCTGCAACACAAAAACGAATCAAATGCTTTAAACTCTTGATATNAACCTGGAAACCTGAAATTTTTTTAATGTGTAGCTCTCACTACACATTTTTTTCATCAAGGTCTAGCCAGATTTGGAGTTCGTGGAAGCTTCAGAATCCACGAAATTCAAATTGGCTTTACCCAGAGGTGTGTTCACAAAACTTCAATTTTCTTACCAATTTTTGGACAGAACAATTTCACATCATATTTCAATCGAAAGAGCATGATTTTTCCTACAATTTAAAAGAAAAATCAATTTAATTCATTAACAATAAAGGAAGTTATAAGCATTCAAACGTAAGCCATATTTGGCATCCACTTGAAGCTTCATAACTTTCTTCAGAGTTAATGTTTTGCTACGGACTCTCCTGATTTAGAAAGCCTGAAATCTTTTCGAAATTTCCCCTCCAGATTTTAATATTTCAAAGTTTGAGAAAGAAGTTTTTTTTTTATTTTTGTCAACCCATAGGGTGACGAAAATCACTCGCCACGACTGTATGTCACATATCTGCGGGTAGAATTCTTTCACATCTATATGCAGATTATGTGTTATAATTTCCTCAAAGTTCTTGGCATATGGGGTGAACATCATTCTTTGGAATTCATCGTAGAAACTGCTGATAAGTCTATGCTTTCTATGCTGAAAATTTATATGTATATGTATTACATAAGCAGATAAATAAAAAAAGCAAACCGTCAGAGCTCCGCCTATCAGCCTGCTCGAGCAGTATCCGCAAAAAAGAAGTGGGACCACAAGCGCAGCAAACCTTTCTCCAAAATCGTGACAACGCTTTATTTCTATGACATGATCTGCTTCTCCAAAACCGACATGAAAATAGAAAATAAAACTAAGAGTCGACGACTCATTTGACAACTTACTGACTAAAAAAAAAGGTCTTAACTATGTCACCATCATGAATTGTTTCAGCATTGTCTCTTCTTTTATTATTAATGACGACGCCAAATCCGCGTTGAGTGATACGCAACTTCTAAAATTTCCACTAAATGAGGACATGAAAAAAAAATACCTTCGTTATATGCTTCCTATGCATACTGTTGCGGAGTTTTCTCTGCAATGGGAACATATGCTCCAATTTCCTATCAGCGGTAATATCCGAGCGTTTCAACGTTTCTGATATTGGTGGCAGCATTAATGATGCATATACTGCCAAACTTAATGCATCATTGCCTTGAAAGAATGATGTGATGTAATATAGAAGAGACATTTTTCTAAACATTCTTTTTAAGGGCAACCTAATGCCTGGATCAAGCTATAAAATGGAGATAAGGAAATTAGTGTATTGTTAAGAAAACTCACCTTCAATGCTCGCATACGCGTTTTTAAATACTCCATATGCTTCTCTGCAACTGCCTTTATTTTGGGAAGAGAAGTTTCTTCCGCCTTCAACAAATCCTCCAAATAAGCGGTTATTAAGTTTAGCTCGCATGTCATCTGAATGAATAAAAAAAGTGATGCACAAAAATAAATAAGACCAGATATAAAACGAGAGATTATGAAACTCTAAATTATGGAA